TATATATATATATATATTTATCGGCAAGCACTTAAGATACTCTTGACTTGTACCTTGGATAAACCCCTTTTTATTCTCCATCCATGCAATTTTAGTAGAACTAACTTTTAATTTAGAGTGTTTAAATTTTATTGTCCACTTTTTCTTTTTATAAGATGTCATTTAATTAATGTTCTTATTCCTATTTTACTCTTATTCTAAAAAAATAATTATAACATATATTAAATAAAAAGGTTTATTTAAGTAGTGATTAATTAATGATAAATATTAAGTTTTATCAATCAATTATTACATCTTTATTTTATTAGACAAAAAAGAGGCCTACTAAAGGTGAATGGAAGGAGAATTTTTTTTTTTTCAAAAAGCATAAAAATTGAAAAATAATTGATACACAGTCAATTTAACACATTTTTTAACACTTATTTGATTCAACTATTAAAATATAATATAAGTAAAAGTTTGTCTACTTTTAATTTTAAGCTAAAAAATAAGAAATTTTTAATGAATATATTGTACAAATATTGAACCAAATTGCATACAATCAATGTCTAAAAGGATTCCATTAATAGAATACAAGAGGTACGCAACCCCTTTCACAATCATAGGACAGGTTCTTGATATATATTCATTCATTTTAATTCCCCTGCCACTAACAATGATAGTAGGACTTAGGCCTGGCGAATGGGTGAGTTGGATCAGATTTGGGTTGAATCAACTCACTTGATGGGTTATATAGATTGAGTTGTACACAGGTTGTGAGTTGGCAAAAACTAACCTTAACCCAATCTTAATGGTTTATAGGTCAACCCACAGGTTTACTTTTTTTTTTTTTTTTTGATAATTAATTTTTTAATTTTATTTTATTAAAATAAAATTGTAATCATCTAAATCTAATTAAAACTTAAAAATTCCAAAATACTATAACAATTAGTTGATTAATAATATTAAATTTAAAATATTAAAATCTAAAATTCAACTTATCAACTTAGGTACTGATAACCTAGAGAAGGTAAGAATGTGTTCTGGGATTCATGCAGCACACTAAAAACCATGATATTAACATTTTTCCTTCTCAGAAAATAATTCTATTCCCATAATATGAGAGCAGCTCCAGAATGTGAAAAATTAAAAATAGGAAAACAAATATGAAAAATTCATACTTAAACAAATTCTATTAATGACTTCGTTAAAAAGAAATGAACTTAACCATATAGAATTCAAGAATCGTTCAATTATAATTATTAATAGGAAAATTAATTAAAAATAATAAGTAAAATATAAATCACATTAAAAAAAAAAAAGTAAATGAATCAACCTGTGAAACTATTAGTTGATTTGTACCTGACCCATAACTCATACAAGTTAATACGATAAGTTATTTATGGGTCAAAGTTTAGATATGTAGATCTTAATCATTTTTTATGAGTTGGGTGGCTTTTCGACACCTCTAAATTACTAGTGATTATAATCACTTAAGAAATTTTACAACAACTGGGCTTAAAATCCACTCTGATAGGATGAAGCTTCCTTCACTCCCTTTGTTCTTCACCAACCAAAAAGTCCTCACTTGTATTTGATCAAACATCCAATCCGCACGTCCGCAAAGCCACCTTTAAATACTACGTTGCTCCTGGTATTCTATATTATCCACACCAAAGAGTACCCAACAACAGCCCACCCCAGTCGGTTCTTGGTTCTAGGTACCATATCATCATGCTGCACAGAAGAGTCCCGGCTGTTTCAGCGAGCACAGTACTTAATCCACACCATTGACTGCATTTTGCTCAAATTATTGAAGCAACCGTACAAGGGGAAAAAGGTGATTGTGATCCTCTACATAGCCCTTACATAAACTGCACGTAGCTGCCTCTATTTCTTTAATGATTCCCCTTTTGAACATATCCGCTTTTGAAGAGCTTTAGTTTTAATGGAATTCTGTCATGTATCCCTAGCCAGGCAAGCCACAAACTTTGTTAGGGATGTTATTGTTCCATCATAACCTTTCAAAAGTTGATACTTGCAATGAAGATTGTTGATGGGCAAGGCTATTAATTATATCATTATTTTACCGTGACATGCTCGTCTTTTCTGCCTTTCAAATTCAAATATCCTCCTTGTCCTTTGAGAGTTCAAGTGTTCAACCATAGCAATCCGTTTCTTTCATTCCTGCAGTGAATCGGACTCCCAGGAGTATAAGCTTCACCTTCATTCAAAGTTCCATGTCCATGTCTCGTCTTCCCACCTTCCCATTTGTTGCGCAGTGTTTTCCTTTCATGTAGAGATTAAGTACAATCTTGGGAAAGCATTAGCAAGCACTCCTATATTGTTCCAACTCTCCTTCCAAAACTAACCCTATTTCCCTTTCCAACTTCTAGCTCAAAACTACCGGACAGCCAACCTCCTTTCTTCCAGAACATCCAACCTGCTCAATTTCCTCTTAGAATAATTTTTTGATTTTATCTTTGTATTAAGATTTTGGAGACAAATTCCATCTTTATTTATTTTTCCCTTAAAATAAATAAAAATAAAAAACTATTTTAATCAAAGGATGGATAATTAAAGTTAAGAGATAATTTTAAGGTTAAAATAGAAAAAAAAATATTTGTTTCTTTTAAAATAGAAAAAATGACTATTATTCTAACACAAATTTTAAATTAAAAAATGTTTTTTATTCTAAAACGGAGGGAGTAATAGGTGCATTTAATGCAACATTTTACATTATTTTGCATTTAAAAAATAAAAATTGACTTTTACTTCATCAACTCTCCAATTAAAATATTAAGGTTAAAATACTAATTAGTCCTTCAACTTTTAAATTTATACCAAAATTGTCTCTAAAATTTAAAAAGCACTAAAATTATTCTTAAACTTCAATTTTTTGTACCAAAATAATCCTAAGTTTAAGACATAAGAAGTCCCTGAACTTTAAACATAAGTACCAACTTAGTCCTTAAGCTTTGAATATAATTATCAATTTGGTTTCTCAACTTTGATTACATATCAATTTAATATGTAAATAGGAATATATTATGATGTCAAAGTATGACTTTGATTTTACACGTTATTAGTATTTTAAAGAAAAATTAATTTTGTAAGAAGATAACAAGTCACATGATATATTTGTTAATAGAAGGACTATTTTGGTATTGAACATTGAAATTTTAAGGATAATTTTGGTATTTTTTGAAATTTGAGGATCATTTTGATATAAATTTTAAAAGTTGAGGGATCAAATTGGTATTTTAACCAAATACTAATACATATTGTAGTGAAATTATGGTTAATTTTTATATTTGTTATAAGATTTCTCTCACCTATATAGAGTACATGTTAAGGGTACTTTTTCAACATAAATTAATATGGATAGAATATATACATATATTAAAATATAAAAATAAATATTAATTTTAATATCATTATTCAGTAGACAAATTTAATTGATGGCTTATAAGTTAAATGTCAATTTTTATTTTTTTAACATAAATATATGACAAAAAAATATATTTAACATACTTTTAACTTATATCATGACCCTTTCTTATATAATTTAAGACTATCAAAAAATACAACCTTAATTTGTAAATTTAAGGCAGAGGAAATATACATTTATTCAACAATACTATAATTACAATATTACAAAGGTTTGTTATGTGGCATTAAATAAATATAACGTGGTATTAAATGAGTGAATACGTATAGTATGATTAATGAATATGTATAGTATTACAAGTGATCTCTTAAATAAAAAACTTAATTATATAATGACACATTATATTATAAATTTATAATAACACATAATATTATAATTATAATATTTTTATACATTCCTTGTACTCTTAAAGACATGTAGCTAGAAAAACAATTCCTTTTATAATTTAAATTAAATTCATTATTGGTTCTTGTGCTACGACGGACTTGGCTATCTCTTTCCGAAGTGATGTTTTTCTCACACCATCAATTATTAATGTCATATCTTTTTATTTTGATTGACTATTATACTTTTTAATTTATTAAAAAAACAAAAAGTGTAAATTTTTGAAACAAAGTGTAATATAAAGGTATAATAGGTAGTTACGTTAAAAAGATGTAACATTAATAATTTAAGGTATGACAATAATCACATTTCTCTTTCTTGGAAAATATTATGGGGAAACAATTAATTATGTCTTTTTCTAATTAATTATTTTTTTATTCCTTGTTATGGAAAAAAATAAAAATTTAATATTATATATAATCTCTTTAACTTATGCGACTATATCTATGAAATAAAGATGAATAGTGTAATAAATGTATTTTTTATAATTAAATTATATAAAAAAATAAATATTGATTTTAATTTTAATTTTAATTAAAATTATTTATGTATAAATAATACTAAAATAAATATTATCATTTACAAGTTTTTATGTACATTAATTATAAAAAATATGTATTTATTACATCATTAATTTATTCTCTTAAGATATTAGTTGGACAAACCTTAATATATAAATCACTGAATTAAATTCATGCATGTGTTAAAAGTTAAATATAATTAACAAACCTTTAATTACAATAGTATATTGCCGCTATGAGACTCACTGTCTGAATCATAAATGTAACTCATTTATTTCAGTGGCATTACGTAGACAAAATCGACTATGCATCATGATCAGTGGAATGCCTTTCCTGTTGTTTGGTAAGCAATATTCAGTCAATTAGACTTTTTCTTTGTTTTTGTGCTATATCTTGATTCTTTATAGAAATAAAGCAAATTAATTTTCTTTGTTTTAAGAGGAACGCAAATATATACAGTAGGAATTTACCTCTATATAAATTTTATACATTATATTTATATAAAATTTTAATAATTTTTTTCCTTACTTTTTAGGGTTGAGATTTATTTATATTTATTAAAGATAATTATTTTTTCATTTTAAAATTCATGTTAAATTTTAACCATCGAAAGTAAAAAAATAAATAATTAAGATTTTATATAAATATTAATAAAATGATAAAGAAGGTTGAGAGTGAAGAGACAATCTGATTATTTATCGAGCTTACATATATATATATACGGAAAAGTGCGCATCAATCCTGCCTCCCAAAAAAAATTGGAGTCCCAAATCAAAACGACGTCGTTTCTCTTAACTTTGCCCCTACTGTTTTTCGTCCCTTTCTGAAATCACCTCCATTTCCATTTCCTGCTCCTGGCCCGATTCCTTCCCCGCCCACGCCCGCTGCAATCTCTGCTATTTCCTTGCCAGCTACTCCTTCGTCGTGGCCGCTGCTTGCGCCCTATCCCTCCTCATCACCTCGTTCTCTCTCGCCCCCCTCTCCGTCATCATTGCGCTCTGGATCCTCCTCTACTTGTTCAAAGAAGACTGTTTGGTGTTGTGGAGCCATAGCATAAGCGATCGGTGGGTGTGGCGGTGATGTTTTCTTGTTTACCGTTTTTGTTTCCTCCCATTTCTTGAAATTCCTTCTTACTTTTCGACATCGCATGGTAAATGAGATGGAAATTTGCCTTTTTTAGGTCAGTATAGATGTGGTATAGATGTGGTATAAATGTGCCGAGATCAGTTCTTGTTCTAGGCTCTGGTAGCTCCTAATTGAGTGCTTTGTGCGGCATGGTGGAGAATTTGGTCATCATGAGGCTTTGTTGATTTTATAAAAGGAAAGGAGGATTAATTTGGTTCGTGTGCTGCTGTTGAATTTCCAAGTATATTGTTGAAGATTGTTAAAGAATAGAAAGATTGTGCAGAATTAATTGAAGGCACTTG